AACAAGAAACTCCTCGTGAAGCTGGGCGGTGGTGGCGCACGCCTTTAATGCCAACACTTAGGAGGCAGAGGCAAGTAGATCTCTGAGTTCGAGGCCAGCCTGGTCTACAGAGCGAGATCCAGGACAACTAGGGCTACACAGAGAAATGCTATCTTAAAAACAAAACAAACAAACAAAACAACAACAAAAGAAACTCCTCATGAGAGAACTTAAGAGGAACCACACTTAGACCCTTCCTTCTATCCCTCTCACCTCACGTGACTGTGCAAGGTTCTTTTATACCACCTTAATTGACTGTTTTCCCTCCAGCTGCTTCAGTATTGATACAGCTTCTACTCTAGGTAGAGCATCTAATCCAAACAGCCCCTGATCCAATACCTTTGAGCATCAACACAAAACCACAATGGAAAGTTCCATACCTGCCCTCTCTGATAGGGTGCAGTTAAAACTCAGGAGTTCTAGAAATACAGCATGCAGTTAACTTCAGGTAAGTATGAAATACAAATGAGTTATGTGACTAAATTGGATTCTCATCCCCCAAATTAACCGTGTATATACAAATAAATAATCCCAAGAAAAATACCTAAAATGTAAAGCTACTTCTGGTTCCAAGCGTTTTGGAAAAGGAATGTTACCCTGTGAGGGCCGGGGAGAAACAAGCCTGTAACTTCCCTAACCATTGCCTTTTCTCGCCCTAACCTAGTCACCAGCTTCAAAGGAGCCATTTATGTCAGACCTACATAAACAGAGTCACCACCATTATAAGTCAAAATATTTAGAATCTATATGCCAACCATCTTTAACAACTTTTTAAAGTGTCCATTTGAAAGAAAGTAATGTAATAGCCGGATATGATAGTGCATCCTTTTTTAAGCTATCACTACTTAAGGATCTTCTTCAGCTCCCACAGTCTCTCACACTCTCCATCCTCCACAACCATCATCACTCCAGTCCTTTCTCAATGCCTTATTCATCTGTAAATGTGGATAATGAAAGTGCCTGCATCCACGCATTGTTCCCAGGATTAAATAACACATGCAAATTGCTTTGAACAATGCCTGGCATTTGTTGTCAAGCAAATGCCTTGGTAAAGATTCAAAAGAAGTTAGCTGTTACTAGTTTTAACCAACATACTAAACATACACTTATGAAAACAACTGTTCATCACGCTAAAATGTTAGCATACAATGAATATCCTTGTTCAACTGATTTTTTTTTCCTATTAGGTATTCAATTTTACTAGAGTCTAAACCACAAAAAAAAGTAAGTCAATTTCCACTCCAATAGTGAGTTACAATGTCTTCTCATAGTTTCTAAAAAGATATTAATAATCTTTAACAGTAGGTATTAACTTCTGTGGGTGGTATATATGTGTATACATGTTCACGTGTGGCACATGTATGGAGTCCTCCTTTGAAGCTGGTGACTAGATTAGGGTAGAAACAGAGATGGCTAGGGAAGTTACTCAGTCCTCCATTATTGCTGCCATCCTGGCCTGGGGCACTGGCCTCAGGGGTGTGTGCAGCCAGGCCAGGGGATCTGAGCTCCTGGGCCACTGGGCCACTGGTCCTTCCCAGAGGCAGCAGTGCTTAGTACAGAGTGACAAGGCAGCATGTACAATCTGAAGCCCGAGGTCAGACAGGCCACGATCAACCAAGAGGGGTGCCATGGAGCCGCAAGAACAGGCACTGGCAGAGAGACAGCGTGGTCCGTGTTCAGTAGGTCCCTCTGAAGACCTACTCTCATCCCAGAAAACCCTACAAAACTGTGCAAATCAAGAGGTTCAAATCCTTGTGTTCACTTTAAGAACACTCAAATTGAACAGGTCTTCAAGATTATGCATATCTAAAGAGCCACCAAGTGTCTGAAAAATGTCACTTTAAAAAAACAATGTGTGCTATTCTGGAAGTACAACGGTGGACTCCACAGGTATGTCCAGGCCAACCACTGGGGCTGGACATAGGGCTGATGGCCCCAAAACAGTGAATTTTTGCTGTACAAGCTTAGCCACAAAGAGAGTAACGTGAAGTTTAAGGATTTAGATGTAGACTCTTCTAGTCATGTATATCCAGATATGCCACACATCCAAGACGCACTGCTGAATTTACAGAGTTCATGGTCAGATTAATATCTGAGTGATGGTTAGCCTTGGCTGTCAACTTGACTACATTTGAAAGTAATTAAAACTCAAGCAGTTGGGTACAGTCCTTGTGAGGAATTTTTCCTGGTTGGATTATTTGAGGTGGGAGACCCACCCTAAGTCCAGACCCTCCCCAAATCTGGGCCACATCTTCTGGTGGCAGCCCACGTAGAAGGATGGAAAGAAGCTTGTGTTTTCTGTCTGCTTGTCCTCGTTCTCACTGGCAAGCTCATCTACCCCGAGCCCTTCCTTCAATGGTGGTAGAACTTCAGTATTCCAACCTGGACTGAAAACCGGCAGCTCTTAGGACTGCCCCAGCACCAGCACCAGACTGAGGAAGCCGAGACACCCAAGCTTGTGGACTAAACCATTACTGGATCCTTCGCCTTTCTGCAGGGACACAGCCATTGTTAACTACTCAGATCACAGCCTGTAAGCCAATATTACAAATTATATATATATATATGTATTATATATATATACAGTCTATCAGTCCTGTGTCTTAGTGAACCCTGACTAATACAGCATGCATGAGCTCCCCTGCCAAACTGAGATTGTCCCCACTGAACAGGAATGCACTGTTCCTAAGCCAGAGTGGGAGGCTACACAGAAAAAGAGATATCCCAGATGGAACCAAAGAGTCAAAAACTTATGGCACAGGGATAAATTCAGCATAAAAGAAATGCAAATAAAAGGTTGCTTTTTTTTTTTTTTTTTTTAAATGAAAAGGTCTATTCCATTAAGTTCACAGGCTATTTCCTGGTGTAGTTCTAAACACTGGCATTCCCCAAATTCGGAAAACAGGACACACAACCATCCTATAAATAAAAGCCTCTGTGCTAAGTCAAATCATTTGAATTGCAAAAGTGAGCCAGGTAGGGGCTGCCCATGGGTCACTACTTCTCAGGAAGTGGCTCTTCGAGGTGAGGGGTGACACGTAGGAAAATGGAGAAAAGAAGGGCATTTAGCACAGTGAAAAAAAGAATTGTACAGGAGAGAATGGAGCAAGGGGAAAACAGAAATGACTGGCAGGTCCCCGAGCTCGTTCAAAATAAGCATCGAAAGGCCAATGGATCCATAAGGCCACACAGCAGCCCTGCAGCCTCCAGTCAAGTCCCACAAACTAAACCTGGGGCAGGAACCGCATCCCAGCAGCTCCCACCAGCAGCAAACACTCCGAACCCTTGTCTGACACGGCCAGGGAACAGGACAGCTCTGAGCTGACTGCTGGTTCCCAGAATCCTGTGGGAGCTACACAGCCTTCCACAGTACAGGTCCTAAAGTTATTTGATACACATTAATCAAACATACTAATTGCCAAGAGAAAACAAGATACTTTTATTCTCAAGACCTGCAAGAATTTCATCTTGGCTGATTAAAAAGGGGGCAGAGTGTGAACTTGGAATGCATGCTATGAGGAGGCCGATTAAGGGCGGGGGTGAACAGAAAGGACTAGGGAGAAAGGGGAATGGAGAGGGAGATGAATAGGAGAAGACACAGTGATATGCACATGGACATGACCTAATGGGATCTATTATTCTGTACACTAACTAAAAACAATTTTCAATTAGATATGTGAATGAGCCACTTTGTACATCCAAATTGTGTGATACTGGCATATTTTCCTAAACTGAAAACTGCCAGAAATTTACAAAAGACCAACTGTTTAACTTTTATAAGCAAAGGTCAGTTTCTCGGAAGAGTCTATTCCATTGGGTTACTGCTGAAAGGCAGTAATCTGCTCGTGAATATTTTTGTACACTATTTTATGCAGGTGGGGAAATTGGAGCTATGATCTTTGATACATTTCTTACACCACTTCTTCCCAAGGGCTAGAAATCTTGCTAAGTATGATAGCATATCACACAGTAGAGATATTTCAGAGAAGACTAAGAAAATGTAAACAAGACATTTTTAGCTTAAAAACCTAGCTAGGCATTCAACCTGACATAGGTATCAATAGTCAAACACTAAAGACATGCATAGCCATTTGTTCCCTGATAAAGAAAAGATACACCTTATAATGCATTCCACCTACTTCAGGTATTTTATAGACGAATTTGTCCAGATTACATGCCACACATATGAAACGAGTATGGCACACTTTCCAGACACTTAAGGATCAATTACAAAGAACAGCAGGCTAACCCAAGTCACAGATTCAAGCAAAAGATTCAAATCAGGTAAAATGATAGCCACAAAGGGCCATATAAAGGAAATTCATTTCAAGTGGGGACATTTCATAATGAGCAGTGGGAATAAAATTCTGGTTAGAACATTATCTTCCCAAATTTAAATAGTTTCTTTATCTTACATATAATAGGTTATAATGAAGACTTTTTGCTTTCTCTTGAAACATAAAAAGTAAATCAAATGTTGCTATAGCCACAAAATTTTTTCCACCAAACTGTACTATATTCCAATGCAAGGTCACTCTGATTTCGACAAGGCAAAACATAAAGGTTTTGTTTGGTTAACACACAAAGGATTTGTTAGATTTCCCAAATATATATTAAGACTTTAGTCTTCAGATCATTCTCTTTTTAATTCCTCCAAGTCAGAGTCAGGCTTACTGGTTTTCTCTTGTTTACGTTTTATCTAGGCTGCTTTAACATACAGTAGAAGCATGGGTCATGGGAGATTATCTCAGTGGTACATTAGAATATTTCACTTGCCTGCACATCCCTTCTGTATCCTAACGGCAGGCATTTAGGTAATGAATTAGCAACTACTGACGGCCCCTGTATGTCTCCATTGCCTGCATTTGTAACACCTTGATCTGAACAGTGTGGGCGAATAAAAAAAATACCTTGGTCAGGACCACATTTATAAATGGTACTAATGCAATAGAATACTCTACCAAGGTTGTGAGTGAGTTCCTTTTCATGTAGAGCCTCTCCAGATGTTGCAGCCCTTCATCTTTCAGTAACTCCAGCGGGAAATGGTGCAGATTCCTGTAATTTAAGAACAAATTCTTGTGCTTCTCAAGCCTGGCCACAGAGATCGTCTTACAAAGTTCGGATGCCATGACTGAACATGTCTGATCAGGCACGCTGCAGCTCTACATCTTGTCAAAATTGGTCCATTTCTAGAAAGAGGACAAAAAAAAAAATGGAGTCATTGTTAAGGTTTCTTACAAGCACTGCATATAAACCTGTTAGCCTACAGAGCTAGAACATCCTAACACTAAAGATAATTACACTCTCTACCTTCTTTTGGGACAACTAAAATCTCTGCACATACTTAGGACATTAAAATAATAATGGCGTACTCTGATTAAGCAATATTTACTACTTACTAGAAAAACACCTAACTGGCCGGGTAGTGGTGGCTCACACCTTTAATCCCAGCACTCAGGAGACAGAAGCAGGGGGATCTCTGAGTTTGAAACTAGTCTAGTCTACAAGGTGAGTTCCAGGATAGCCAGAGCTGTTACATAGAGAAACTCTGTCACCAAAAACCAAAAGGAAGGGAGGAAGAGGGGGAGGGAGGGAGACATAACTAGAGAAAAATTTCTTCTAGACTTGAAGTAGGAATCTTTATGAGAACAGAGACTAGTTTCTGCTTTTGTTTTTGTAAGACATGGTCTCGTGCATTTCAGGCTGGCCTAGAACTTGCTATATAGCCAAAGAAGATCCTAAAATTCGGATCCTCCGGTCTCAGCCTCCAGTTGTATGGCACGCCTCTTTGTTTCTGTAGTACTGAGATCAAACCCAGGGCTCTGTGCATGCTGGGAAAGCACTCTACCAACTGCTCTGTATCCACAGACCCCAGACGCAAGTTGTACAGCATGCAACCAAAGAAAAGGCTTTAAAAAAACACAAATGCAGCAGGCCCCATCTTCATTTTGGGCCGTCTCATTTTGTACTTTACTTATCTCAAACATGAAATATGATTTCTACTCATATCACTAACAGCTTAATTCCTTTACTTCCTCCTCTGTAAATATTGTCAAGTATTCCACATTTTTACTTCTTTTGACTTTTATCCTTTTCTTTACAGCTTTGCAGATTGTCAGAAATAACCAAGAAAGAGGCCCAAAGTCACTAGTCAAAAACACTGCACTAGGAACGTGAACCCTGTGTTTTCCATTTATAAAGCTCTCTGGGCCTCGGGTGACTCGTGTAGACACAGCAGTTAATATGTTGATTGAAAAATTATTGTCAAGTCTCTTCCAGTCCCAAAATTGACAAGAAAAGGAAGCTACATTTGCCACCCCCTCATTTTTTTCAAGACAGTGTTTCTTTGTGTAGTCCTAGCTTTCCTGGAACTTGCTCTGTAGACCAGGCTGGCCTTGAACCGGCGGCTTCACTTCTCCCGAGTGCTGGGATCAAAGTGCGCCACCCCCACCTGACTACTTTACCATCTTACTAGGAACAAGGATGAATAAGCTTCCACTATTAACACAGGAGGAAACAAAACTCAGGCTTTCTGAACTTGTCAAAGGTGAAAGAGTGCATAAGGAATTCAAAGCAAGAATCTGACACCAGGTCCCGGGGTTTCAAAGTGTGGGTTCTTTGCAATGAAGCACAGGATGCCAGCAGATATTAAGTAAATGGAAGTACGTGACAACTGACTTCAGTTTTGCTGGCAAAGTCCATTTTCCTGAACATCCCTTCCAGTTCTCTATCGAAACAGAAAAAGAACAGTGTGCGGTTTCAATTGTTTCATTCATTTTAAGAAACTAATTCTCACGGAGCATTTGTATGGAGGCTTTCAATAGGCAGAGGCTTGTAACTGTGGGGTTACTTTCTATCATTTTCAAGCTCCTACTTCTTAGCTCAGAAGACAACAGTTGCCATTTTACTTAAAAGACTACTTCTATGAAGTGCTCGGTAACAGTTCTAGGTCAACCTAAGAATCTAATACTTTCCCATATTTATTCCATCTGCTTTCTTTCTCACTTTATTGCCAGGCACCTGACTGTCGACATCTGACGTGTCTTCATATAAAGTGAAGGAAACCAAAGGGTGGACAGCATCAATGCTTCTGTGTAGAAAACAAAGCTTCCTGGGTAATTATCCACTGAGTAATGGTTTACTGGGCGTGAGTGGTTTAGCTCTCTCACAGCATCTCCGATGTCATACCTTCCCAGACAGCTGTTAATGCTGGTCACCAGTCACCTCTTCAGGTTTTCCTAACTCAGCAAATGTGGGGGAAACACCCTTCCACACACACAGCAGCTCAGCTGGAAGTCATGGAGGATCCCACCCTCTCCACCCCAGCTTCTTCAGTCGATCACAAGGCCAGTGTTTCTCTTTCCAAAACACATCTCAATCCCAGCCACATCTCTACATCGGCCAAAGCCACGGGCCACTGCCATCTCCTGCCGTGGCCAGATGTATTCCTCGGCTCCATGTGTCCACTTTCCTCACTTCCAACATATCAACCACAATAATGAGCCTCACAAAATGTACACATAATTTCATCTCTCCCTCTTGGGCATGTCTTACTAAATAAACCCTTGAGCAACTCCTTATTGAGAAAAGCAAAGCCTTACGAAGGTTTCAGAGCTCTTGACCATCGGGCCCAACCTGCCTGTCCAGCCTCTTCTGCCACATTCACCAAGTTCCTGAACTCTTAATACTGGGAGCTACTCAACTCCCCCAAGCACTGGCTGCTCTCCTCTTGGCCTGGGAACTGCCTCTTTCCCCTCGCAGATTTCAACATAAAACTCACTTCCCTATCCCATCTAACTATTCCCATGGTTTTCCTTTAGAGCAAACCAGTTGTTGTTTTTACAATTTGTAATATACATATTTGTTATAAATATAATTGTTATATATATATACATATATATACACACACACATATATTATATACACACACCTAGTTACTGACACTTTAGACAAGTCTGTAAAATCCTGAGGGCAGAGAGATATTACTGTTTTCTTCATGTCTACATGATGCTACAGCAACAAATACTTTCAGCTTTCAAACAGCTAATAACTGAATGAAATAGGAACAGCTGTTCCAAGGTTGACTTTTCGTTTACCCATTGAGGTCACTCAAAGACTCTTTAAACTTGCTACCTGCCATAAGGATCTTTATCCTCACAGCCAAGCAGCACAGCAGACATGAACTAATTCACTTTACAGATGAGATACCATGTCACAAACACAACAGAGGTGGTTCTAACCCCAAATCTGGGCACTGCCTTACCTACTAACGCACCCTTTTACAAATGTAAAATGTAGCCAATGTGTCGCCATTATGAGATAAACAAAGATTAAACAAATGGAAAGCTTTCCTTTTGCAAAGTAAAACTATAACCCAATTCTCCATTCACGGTAACCAAATGGCTTTCTGAATGCTCCAGCTGGAACTGATTGCCTCAAAAAGCATCCTTAGGCTCTGCTGAAATGCATCTTGCTACAAAGACAGACTGGGAAATAAGGTGCACATTTCCAGAATTAATAATGCTCCTGTTTTTCCAATATGCACTCATTGGCTATACAGCCTTTCAAAGGTTAGCTTTCCTGCCCCTTCAACTTCATCACCGCCAGCCCACAGTTAATGTAAATAAATACTGTAGTATTAACTCTCTATATACAGTTGCATCTTCAGTTTGCTGAAAGTCCAACACCAGTCTTCTCAACAGAAGCAAACAGAACAATCTCCCAACTTAAGAAAACCCCCATTTTAAGCATAAGTATTTTAAAGAACAGTCCCTAACTGACTTTGCAGGACTTGACTTGATAGAATACAGAACCTGACTTCCTAGCGCTGGAGATGAGGGTCTTACAAACTGTACGTTATAAGCATGTGTAAAAGGCTGTTCTCTCCATGAGAAAAACTACCAGACGTCCTGGTTTGGCCCGAGTTAGTTCGACTAGAATTAGTCGTAAGAATCTGGCAGCAGGGAGCCCAGGGGCTCAGGAATTCAGAGGATACCGGGATACTCGGGTACCAGGGGCCGCGGAGGAGACAGCAGCCGAGGGGACCCAAGGCCGGACAGCCCGCGGTCCTTCTCGCAGAGGCCCGGGAGCTCCTGTGGCGTCGGGAATGAAGCGTCCCAGGCAGGAGCCGGGCCAGTGCCCTCGATCTGTGAGCCTGGAGACGGGACACTCACCTCGGCGCCCGCTGACCAGCGCTCGGTGGTGGCCCGGGCTGCGCCGGCAGGCAGTCCAGGGATAGAGGGAGGGCGGGGCTGAGAGGGCGGGGCTTGCGGCGGGGCGGGCCTAACTAACGGGAGTAAGGGTCGGGGGAGAAGTGGCCCGGAGGACGAAACATCGCGATAGTTCGCCTCGGCTCCCGCTGTCTCACGGTAGGTGGAATGGGAGGCTCGTTTTCAGAGCCAGGCGTCTATTGGCCGAGAGCGCGACTTCCTCCAGGGCGGGCCGTGGCTCTGCTCTGGCTTCCGGCTTCGATTCGGGAGCTGGACGTCAAGAAAGTGGCGTGTCTGCTGAGCGTCGTGGTGGGTTGTGTAGCCGGCGCCAGCCCCAGGAGCCGCCAGTAACTGATCTGTCTTTCCGTTCTCACGTGCATCCCGCTCTCAGCCTCCCATTGACGGATGCCAGCAATAAAACTCGGAGCGATTCTCTCCCAGGCCTGGTGCTAAGAGCTGTGCACAGCCTCGCCTTTGCTTTAACAGCAATCCCGGCTACTGTTAGACCCCCATTCTGACCTTTAAACAGAAGCCGTCGGGCTTACATAACCCAAGTAAGTCGAGTCTACAAGAAGAACTTAGGCACGGGGTTTAAGGTCTCGAACCTCGCTGAAAGGTGTCAAGAACAGACACGCCGGCCCAGGCGTGGTGCTGTATGTTTGAATCTCAGTGCTCTGGGAGTGGAGACAGATCAGGAGTTAGAAGCCAACCTCGGCTACGTGAGACACTGTCTCGTAAATAAAAATAAAACAGAACATGCACACAGGCTCTAATGTGAGAAATTACTAAGGACAATCACAATTTAGTGGAGTAATATGGCAGTTCCTAACATGGCTAGGTAGGCAGTCCATAAAAACCTCTTCAGGACGAAAAACCTGATTGCTCTGATGGCTGAGCTAGGAGGATCACAAGTCGAAGGCCAACCTGGGGAGCTAATGAGACCCTATCTCAAGTATTTTAAAAAGAAGGGGACAGGTATGTAGCTCAGTAGAGGCACTCAATTCAGTCCCCAGTACCAGGGAAGAAAAGTAAAAACTGTTGTTGTTTTGTTGGTCTGTTTTTTTGTTTTGAGACGTGGTTTCACCGAGTAACAACCCTGGCTGTCCTGGAACTCGCTCTGTAATCCAAGCTGGCCTCAAACTCACAGATCCATCTACCTCTGCCTCCCGAACGCTGAGATTAAAGGTGTGTGCCACCGCCCAGCATGTAAAACATTTTTAAAATGTCGTGTACTTAGATACAATAATTGTCTTTCTTTTTTGGTTTTGAGACAGGGCTTTCTGTAGCCCTGGCAGTCCTGGAACTTGCTCTGTAGACCAGGTTGGCCTCATACTCAAGAGATCAGCCTGCCTCTGTCTCCCAAGTGCTGGGATTAAAGGCCTGCACCACCAACGCCTGGGTACAACGTTCTACCTTTAAAAATTCCTCAACGACTTATTCTTTATTGTTTGACGAACCTCATTCATGTATATGATGTTTTGATCAAATCCATCCCCCCCCCATTAAAACGTATTCTTTGTCCTTAAGAAAAAATTGTTTCTATTAATTTGCATAGGGGCTTCTTGTTAAGCATATCAATTGTTTTTTGTTTGTTTGTTTGGTTGGTTGGTTGATTGGGTTGGTTGGTTGGTTGGTTTTTCCAGACAGGGTTTCTCTATGTAGCCCTGGAACTCACTCTGTAGACCAGGCTGGCCTCAAACTCAGAGATCCACCTGTCTCTGCTTCCCAAGTGCTGAGATCAAAGGCATGAACCACCACCTGAATCATTCTCAACTTTAAAATGAACTACTTTTTGATAGCCTAATTACTCTTAGAAATGAATAACTTAGAAAACAGTTAAATTAAATAAAAATATTAACAGCTCCAAAATAAGACATAAGTTAAAATAAAAATATAAATTATCTATTATTTAATCCAGTCTTCAGGAGTTACTAAAGTATATGGCATAGTATATATCCTATATTTATTAAAACCTTTTGGGAGTGTTTAATACCTTAGGATTTCCTCATCAGAGAAGTTTCTTTGTGCAGTGGATGGTAATTAACATAACTCATAACTGATCAAATAAGTATCTCTAGAATGCTAGCCACGAATGGGACAACCCAAGTCTCCCTAATCCCCAGGCTCAGGGACCAGTGCAGAAGAGAGAGCAGAAAGGTGTAAGAACCAGAGGTCAGGGAGGATCGGAGTGAAACAGTTTCTTCTGAACACAACAGGCCCTCTGCATTCATTTGAGTGGATGGCAACTGTGGTTGCCTGTGCAGGATCAAGCCAGGCAACATTTTAGCATGGAGGAAGAAGGGGTTCGCCAATCCCCCGGCCTCCTAACTGAGGAGCTAGGGACAGTTTGTGGCTTCTGGAGGAGGGAGAGTTGGTTTTCTTTAAAGATGTGACCCTTGGTAGGTAGACCTTGCTCCAGTGGCTGGCCCCACACCCAGAAGTGTATGGGCAGGACAAATTGGACTCCATTGGTTATTAAAAAGAGGAAGAGGCGGAGAAAACATGAGGAAATGGATCTGGGAAGAATTAGGGGGAGGAGTGGAGGGTGAATTTGATCCAAATGCTTTGTATGAAGTTCTCAAAGAATAAAAATATTCTAGGTGTCTTTCTCTGGGGTCTAGCCTAGTAAGTGTAATAATAATCCTCAACCCTCATCAAGGAAACCTCTCTTTGCATCTTCTGGAGACCATTACAGAAAACCACAAGCAATCCAAATACAGAGTGGAGACACAACAATGTCAGAAGCAAATCCATAGTCTCACCGACACGTCTGCCTAAACATGGCCTGAATGAGGACCGTCCCAATAGCCACGCTAACATCCATCAGCTAGGAAGAGCTCGGGAGGCCTCAAGGCTATGCCAAGAACTACAGGCAACTAAAGAAAGCTGAGATGGGGAGAAATAGTATTGCCCAGAAGAGCATGCCAATTTGCCCATCTAATACCAAATGGTCAGCCTTGAAACACACACACACACACACACACACACACCCTGCACGTGCACATAAAAATAATAATAATAATAAAGGCCATTCATTTTAAAGAAATCAAGGAAGAGATACCTAGGAGGATTGGTCAGGAGGAAAGAAAAGGGGAAATGATGTAATTATAATCTTTCTATGTATATGTTTATATATATATATATTAAACATTAATATATTGGCAGAAAAAAGAATAGAAAAACATTTTTGAAGTAATGTCAGCTTCCTAATTTTCGTCTTTCTTTCTTTCTTTTTTTTTTTTTTTCGAGACAGGGTTTCTCTGCATAGCTTTGCGCCTTTCCTGGAGCTCACTTGGTAGCCCAGGCTGGCCTGGAACTCACAGAGATCCACCTGGCTCTGCCTCCCGAGTGCTGGGATTAAAGGCGTGCGCCACCACCGCCCGGCACTTGTCTTTCATTTTTTAAGAGAAATATTTTTAGCATATTAAGATCCAAAAGTTGCTCATGAAAAATGAATCATGTTAAAATAGCTTTTACCCCTTCTCCAAATTGGTGTTACAATTCCCATATTGATAGTAGGATCACATTAGAAGTTCACTCAGTTTGTGGAATATCGATTTACATATTTTTATAGGGCTTAAAACAGAAGGAGAAACTCTAAATGGATGTTTTTTCTAACCTGTGGCAACTTTTAACAAGTCAGCGATACCACTTTAAGAAAATTCCAAGGGAAAGCCGGCCCCCTACCTAAAATTCCCACCTCTGGCTTCCCTGGATTGGGTTACAAAGTTTGACAAAATTCTTTTCTCCACTCCCTATTGGTGAAGGCTCTATCCTTCATTCCTTGGCCTGGAGTTTTGTGAAGTACTAGGTTGCTTTATGGAAGAAGGCTGCTCTCATTTAGGCTGAAACCGCTGGATTCAGACTTGTTGATGGTCATCGAGCTGATCCAGAGGGGGCCAAGCTGGCAAAGGCGCGGATCAAGAGAACTGTGAAAAGGAAAGAGAGTTTCTCCCCGTCGGGCTGAGTAAACAGACAAAGGATTTTACGACAAAGTTGGAGGGACGAGAGTTAAAGAAACTTTCCAGGTTGTTCTTTTGTTGTTTTGCTAGTTTTAAGGAAACGTGGAGAGAAAACCCGGCCACCATCTGAGGGGGCAGGAGGAAGAGTTTCGAGACTTCTTCTCTCTTTAGAATGAAGTTGGAAACACAACCCCCAGGCTATCAGTGGAGTTTTGCAAGGTAAACAAGATTAATTGTAGATTATTTTTGCTTCCATGTGCTTTGCTGCTATTGTTGCTTTAATGTGGATTTAGACATTTTCTACTGCAATTTTTAAATCAACTGGATATTTGTGTCTGTGCATTATAACAGACGTAATACACAAACCATCTATTTAGAGAAGAAAAAAATCACAGTTGACTTTGAACTCAAATCGGACAAATATTTGTAAAGTGGGAAATTGAGGGATGGTTTTGCCTAGGACCAAGCCAAACATAATTTTGGTATATGCAACATCAGCATCAGCAAGCGGATGAATTCTCCCCAAAAAGAAATCTGGCATTTATATTTTCAACAAGAGATATTTAATTAATGTTAAGATATAAAGTTCAGGAATATATTAGAAATCTGTTTCTTAGATTGTCGCTCTTTAGTTAGCCTATAAGGACATAAAACGATAAAAATCTTCAGAAGATTATACCAAGGTTCTGGGCAAATGGGGCTCAGAGATTCTCTTTTTTTTTTTTTTTTTTTTTTTCTTTTTGGTTTTTTGAGACAGGGATTTTCAATAAAAGAGTCTGAATATTTTCAATGTGCAGGTGACCATGACAGATGCTAGGAGCATCAGTAGCTTCAGGGAGAACTTCAAAGTGCTGCTACCTGTTTTTGAATTTTCAGTAGGGAGGAAGAAAGGAAGTAGCATCATCCACAGAAGTGCTGCATCCTTGGCAGAGCTGGCTCTGACTGCAGCAGGTGGTTCATTGAGAACCTCGGTTAAAATGATAATGTTTTTGTTTTTTTTTAAAGAACAGAAAGTCACATGAAGAGCCAGTAACTAGCAGTAAGGAGTTCAGTTGTGGATTTTCAGTATGAAAATTTGCATCGCAGCTTAAGATTGGCACCAGGGCACAGGCCAGAGCTTAGTAATAAATTGACATACAGATCTGCCTCCAAGTCTCTTGAGACATTTTGCTTAAGTATCTTTCTCTACCCTTGTTGGTTTACATAAATCCTGACACATTTCCTTGTGGCCTTTGAAAGGCATTGAGCAATTTTAACTTGGCACTATGGATGTATATTGTCAGGTGTAGTAGTTGTGATATAATTTGAACGGTAAAGGTGATTTTTATTCTCCCTGTTTTCTTTCTTTCTTTGAATGTGTTTTTCATGATTATACTTAACTGATCTAAAGGAATTTCTACCCCTAACCAAAAACCATGTAAAGTCACTATAGGAAATGTCACTTGAACTATGTCTGGGACAAAACTCAGTTCTCTGCATGCTCATTGAGCGGCTGTGATACCCCAGAACCTCTGCTCAGCATTGAGAAAACAAAGACAATCAAGGACCATCTCCTGCAAAAGAGCAGAGCGCTTCAGGGACATTATCTTCATCCTTGTGCAGAAACTTACACAAAGAATCCGAAGCTCACGTGATCCTAAGATGTCCATCCACAGTTCCTTTTTTTTTTTTTAATTAGAAAAGAAAATGTTTAAAACAAGGTGTTCCCTTATATCTCCATAGAGACAAGTAATATGCTTTGATCATTTTCATCACTTTTATTTTATATCCTCCTCCATCTCTTCTTCTCCTGCCATATATCTAGGTTCCCTGTTTGTTGTCATGCCCCTTTGCCTCCTAGTTTCTACACAGGAGAGAAAACCTGCCATATTTGCCTTTGTGAGACTGGCTCATTTCTCTAAACAAGCTCTTCGGTTCCATCCATTTTCCTGCAGATGACGTCACTTCATTCTTTCTATCAGAATAAAACTGTTGTATCCATATACCTTTTCTACATTGGTTGGTTCTTTGATGGCCACCCATGCTGCTTCCATGACTCGCTCTTGTGGCCCGACAGCCCTAGAGTACAGGTGTCTCTATAGTAAGTGACTCCAAACAGAAAGGGAAGAAGGGGAACCTCTAGCTTTAGAAATAGGCTCTGAGACAAGGTTCCCTTATCACGTGGCCATCTCCAATACTCACCAAGTGTTAATCACTTAAGTCCCTTAAATAGTACAGCCCTCTGTTAATATAACCAACCGTCTTATTAAATAAGAAACACAGAACCAATGTAAAAGAGAAAGCCAAGAGATCAGAGCTCAGAGCTAAAATCTCACCCTTCCTCCTGCGGTGGTCTTAGCTTCCCGAAAGAGAGCTATTTCCATGTGTGTAAGTCGTTTCATAGTCTTTTGTTCTGCCTTCTCATTGGTTGTAAACCCAAACACGTGACTGCCTCGTCATTGTCTGTATATACAGCCCCCCAGGTCTTAAAGGCATATGTCTCCAATGCTGGCTGTATCCCTGAACACACAGAGATCTATGGGGTTAAAGGCATGCGTCACCACTGCCACGCTCTGTCTATGGCTCTAATAGCTCTGACCCCCGGGCAACTTTATTTATTAATATACAATTAAAATCACATTTCAGTACAATTAGAATACCACCACAGCCCTCAGGAAGTTGGAGAAGCAAAAGAAATGTAACAAAATAAAAGCGACTTGTGTCACGGTGACAGTGAAAAGCTCGCTCATATATTCCAGTCTTTCTCAGAGTCGGCTGTGATTCCTGTTGATGTCTGAAGCCTTTATCTCCATGGAATGGGCATTTCCACCCACCTACTCCATCTTTAAACCAAGTCAATGTGCCTTGAATGCGTTCATTTGTTCCTGTATTCATGACCACCTCAGTCCTGGCTTCTTCCAGCTATTAACAGCTTTTCCCTGGAGGATTTTGGGCATTCCTTATGTACAAAATCAAGAAAAATGCTGGAAGGATACTTATGCAATGAATTTGACTTTTAAACTAAATATAATTTTAAGGACTGGAAATGTTTCTCAATGGTTGAGTGCTTGCCTAGCATGCATAAGGCCCTAGGTTCAATTCCCTAGTAGGGGTCTAATTACTATGGCAGTGTTCCTACTATTTGGATCTGGCCTTAAAATTTATAGATAATATTTTTACTGAATGCACCATTTATGTTTCCAAGAGCAAAGAAACATATCACATTCCACAAGCAATGTGGTGATGGCTCTATCCCAGAGAAGGGGATTGATGTAAAAGACATGAAATTTCATCTACAATGTAATCTGTGAACTTCAGGGTCCGATGGACTCCGCGATATGGCAAGGCCACACTCTGCACATTCTGTTTATCCATTTGGGAGTTGACAGACATTTGGAATACTTTCAGTATTACGACTAACACTTCTAGGAAGACGTGTATAAGTTTCTGTATGGATATGCCTCTTCAACTGCTTCAGATTTACCTACAAGTAGATGTGCGAGTTACATAGTACCTAATACACAGCTGTTTTCCAAGGCAACTGTAGCACTTCACATTCTCACCAGGAGCCTGTGAGCAGTCCAGTGTCTCCACATCCTTGCCACCACTTCTTATGTTCAGGTTTATTGTTGTCAAAATTTGGTGAGTGTGAATCAGTAGCTCCTTGTGATTTTGATAATGACTAATGATACTAACCATCTGTTTGCCTTAGCTATCTATATATTTTCCTTGTTTAAAAAATGTCTGTTCAAATATTTGGCCTAATTTTCAATTGGGTTGTCATTGAATTGTAAATATTCTTGACATATTCCCTCATCCTTTAGGTGGTCTTTTAAATTTAGCATTTAACTTTGAAGCATCAAGATTTCAATGTTGTTGAAGTCCAGTTAATTCATTGTAAGATGAATTGCTAAACGGTCTTATTAATAAAAAAAAAAACCCAGAGCCAGATATTGGGGTGAAAACTGAGAGATCAGAGGAATAAAACAAGCCATAACCAACCTCACCTTACCAACTCCTCAGCCTCCAGAGAGAGCTACTTCCTGTACGCTCACTCCTATAACCCCTTCCATGCCCTGCCGTCTTACTTCCTCTCTCCATCCAGCTACATCACTTCCTCTTTGTGCCTAGCTCTACCGATTCCTTATCTGTACAGACCTCCAGACCTCTATGGTTAACTAGCACTGGGATTAAAGGTATATGCCACCATGCCTGACTCTGTTCCCAGTGTGGCCTTGAACTCAGAGATCCAAATGGATCTCTGCCTCCCGAATGCTAGGATTAAGGCATGTGCTACCACTGCCTGACCTCTCTGTTTAATACAGTGGCTGGCTTTTTCCTCTGATCCCCAGATAAGCTTTATTGGTGTGCACAAATAAAATATCACCACAATCTGTCTTCCCTTCTCTCACTTGTACTTTGGAGTTGTATCCAGGGAATCCCAACTCATAACACTTTACTCCGGTGCTTGGTCAGCGTTTTGCAGTTCTAGCCCTGAGGTTTAGGTCTCTGCTCTGCTTGGAGTTCACTTTTATGGATGGTGTGAAGTCACCTTTGAATGCGCCTCTCCAGTTCTAGCATCATTTATTGAAAAGACTGTTCTTTCTGCCTTTGAAGTATCTCCGCACCTTTAGGGGGTGGGGGAATGCACCAATCCCTGGGTTTGATGGCTGACACTGGAAAAAAATAAGGGAAAAAAAAAGGAGTGACTGTGTATGTCAGGGTTAATTTCTTTTCTTGTCCATACCCCAGTATTATGCCATTTTGTTCTGTTTTATCCCAGCTTCAACTGAGCTATGTTAGACAAACTAAAATTTTGCAAGTTGTACAAGGTTTGTTTTTTTTTAAGAACTTTTTGTTTTTTAGAGATTGTATTTTAATCACAATATTTCTGCCTTGCCTTTCCTCCCTCAAAAGCCTCCCATATATCCCTTATTGTTCTCCTTCATATGTGTGGCCTTTTTCATTGTTATTGCATGTGTATATGAAAATGTGTGTGTATACACACACACACACACACACACACACACACACACACACACACACACACACACACCCTGTCGAGTCCATATGATGTCTGTATATTTCCAGGGCTGACTGTTTTGGCCCTGGACCGCCAATTGATTGATATGTTCTTCCTCTCCCGCCCCCAGCATTCCTCAGTTGCCTGTCGTTCTTTGTGTAGTATTGGGGCCTCATGGGCTTGGCCCCATCCAGTTTGGCCTGTTTGTTGGTGCCTT